GATTCCTTAATTATTTAGCCTTATAGAACATTCATATATCCATTTAATGTGCTAGCAAACAATACAGATTTTTTTACTAAGACAGAATAATTTTTACGGGTGTCATCCTGCTTCAAACAAACAAAGAAAAATGTGGCAGATATTGTAGTTTGTCGTTCAGACCCTGAGACATTAGAGCACCTGTTCCTCCGCTGTCCGGGCTGCACGCTCTTCTGGGACAAATTCAAAAAGGTCGTTGAAGACGTCAAAGGTTCCAGGACACAAAACGAAAGAGACTGGGACTGGCTCAGACTTTTTGAACTGTTGGAAAAAAGGGAAAAATGAAAGAAACATAATCTTTGCCGTCGCAAGACACACCATATGTATATGCCGGAACCATCAACTTTATAAAAACAAATCCCTGGATCACTGGAAACTTTTCTCTGGATTCATTCAGCAACACCACAAAATAATACAGCACCTGGACCCAAAACTATGTCAAGATATCTTTGGACCACTGAACAAGACTCAGAAAACAGACATTCTGGAAATTTGAAAAGTGATTAATTGAATTATTTTTCTTTGGAAAGTATGTATATTATGAATTGTTGATTTACACATTGTAAATAATTACACTTATTTTTTAATGAAATTTTCATAATAAAAGACATCTGATCTCATCTGATCTTGAAAGCTAAGCAGGGTCAGGTCTAGTTAGTACTTGGATGGGAGGCCGCCTGGGAATACCAGGTGCTGTGAATTAGGCAATTTAAACTTTATTTTATCAGGTCAGTGAAATCAGACACTAAAAATATATATTTTTCTTCTTCTTCTTCTTTCGGATTTTCCCTCTTTCAGGCGTCTCCACAATGAGGCATCCTCCTCCATCGCACTCTGTCCTGTGCATCCTCTGTGCTCACTCCAACTACCTCCATGTCCTCTCTAACTACATCCATATATCTCCTCTTTGTCTGTTTCCTGGCAGCTGCATTTCTAACATCCTTCTACCAATATACCCACTGTCCCTCCTCTGGACATGTCCAAACCATCCCAGTCTGGCCTCTCTAACTTTATCTCCCAGTTCAACCTGCACTGTACCTCTGATGATCATTCCTAATCTTCTCCATCCTTGTCACTCCTAAGAAGAACCTCAACATCTTCATTTCAGCTACTTCCAGTTCTTTCTCCTGTGTTTTTGTCAGTGCCATTGTCTCCAGACCATACAACATAGCTGGTGTCACAACTATCTTGCAAATTTTCCTTTAACGTTTGCTGATACCCTGAAACTTTTCTCCATCCACTCCATCCTTCCTGGGCTCTCTTCTTCACCTCTTTACCACACTCCCCATTTTCCTGGACAGTGGACCCCAAGTACTTGAAGTCCTGCAACTTAGCCTCACTGTTCCACCGGACTCCCTCTCATTCACACACATATTTTGTCTTACTACAGCTGACTTTCATTCCCTTTCTTTCAAGTGCATACCTCCACCTCTCCAAGTTCTCTTCCACCTGTTCTCTGCCCTCATCACAGATCACAATATCATCTGCAAACATCATAGTCCACAAGGATTCCTGCCTGACCTCATCTGTTAGTCGGTCCATCATCAGAGCAAACAAGAAGGGGCTCAGAGCTGATCCTTGATGCACTCCAACCTCCACCTTGAAGCTATCTGTTACTCCTACAGTCCACCTCACCACTGTCCTGCTGTCCTCATAGATGTCCTGTACCAGTCTAACATACTTCTCTGCCACTCCAGATTTTCTCATGCAATAACACACCTCCTCCCTCGGCACTCTGTCATATGCTTTTTATAAATCCACAAAGACACAATGGAGTTCTTTCTAACCCTCTCTGTACTTCTCCATCTGCATCCTCAAAGCAAAGATGGCATCAGTGGTACTTTTTCTTGGCATGAAACCATACTGCTGCTCACAGGCACCTCTCTAAGTCAAGCTTCCACAACTCTCTTCCACATCTTCATTTTGTGACTCATCAACTTAATTCCCTTGTAGTTGCCACAACTCTGTACATCCCTTGTTCTTAATTTTTTTTTAAATTAATTAATTAATTTTATTTATTTCTTTATTTAAATTAGGACAATGAATATTAATCAACATGTCAGCAGTAAGCATCAATGTAAATATGCCGGAGTTAGCACAGTGGGCACCAGCACACACCTTTTCCATTCCTCAGGCATTTTTCCACCCTCAAATATGCCATTAAATATTTGAGTCAAAAACCTCACTGCCATCTCTCCAAAACATTCCCATACCTCCACTGGTATGTCATTAGGACCTACTGCCTTCCCCTTCTTCTTCTCAACTATTTTAAACACAACAGTCACGAGCATACAAGCTGCACCATCAAATAGCATTTCTGCCTCTACGTTTAAAACAAATCTCTGCCCCTAAAAGAGTGGTGGGGGTGAGTGCCAAGCTAACTAGGCAGTCATCTGTAGGTAGGAGCCCACAGGCAGCGACCATGAACAGAGGGAGGAGGCGCCTGGAGATTTCACGCGTGGAGTCGGACAATGAATTCAGCGGAAAGTTGGGCTCGCAACCGTCAAGTGGGTAGTGGGGGTGGGGGGTTGGGTAGGATGCTTGACAAGATGCGGAGTGTTTACAAATGTAGGTAAACATAGATGTTTAACAACCTGTTAAAATACACCAATATGCAGGAAATTGCATCTAATTTTCTAAGTTTTCTGGATAAGGACTCACAGACTCCTCCCCCTGCAAACCCCGTCATGCACCCCCAACCCCCCTCCAGCCAGCCTGCCCCTATTTGCATTCTGGTATTGATTGTTTACAAATTAAGCCCCAACCTGGTCTCTTGGACACATAAATCATCTACCTTCCTTCTCTGCATCATGTCAGCCAGCTCTCTACCTTTGCCTGTTATTGTCCGCACATTTGGAGCTGCAACCCTAAGTCCTACATTCTTGACTTTCCTCTTCTTCCTCTATCTCCTGACACATTTCCCTCCTCGTGGTAGCACAATTTCCACCGGCACCTTGTTTGTCAACAGTACCGGTGGTGATTTATGTTAATCCGGGCCTCGACAGATCCGGTATTTTGCTTTGATAAACTCGCATTATAGTTTTGGCAAAAGTATTTTATGTTGGATGTCCTTCCTGACACAACTCTCACCATTTACCCAGGCGGGACCGGCACAAGAGACACCGGCTTGTGGTTCCAAGTGGCTGGTTTATAAATTAAAATGTGAACAACCACCCCAAAATCTGGCTGGTTCTGAGCAAAACATCGTAACTGTGCATCAGAATCTGCTGGGTGAATAAAGCTTTTGTCTACTGTGTTTTGTGATAATTTTTGTATTAAAAAATAAATTAAAAGAAACTAGAATCAACATGCAATAATAAAACAAACACAACATAATACTAAGAATAGGAATAAAACATAAGGCCAAATCAAAATGAGGATAAATTAAAAGAAAAAATATATATATTTAAACAGTCTGACTGGGAGACATGTTGATGGTTTGGATATGGATGAAGTTAATTATGACAAATAGCTTAAAAAAGTCCAAACATTCATCTGAGTTGTTTTATTTTATAGGAAATCAAAGGCAGGAGGAGGAAGATGGTGTGAATTTGGTCCTCAATTGAAATAATTTAATTTATCAAGAATCTCATAAGTCATCACTACTTAAGATACATGGCTCCACAGAGACAGTACATTTCTTTAGACTACAGAACTAAATAGAAATCAGGGGTGGCATGCTTACAAAGTGTTAACCCCAGGGTGCAGACATAAACTCAAAAAGTTCAGTGAGTTAAAAAATAAATAAATGAGTTATTTGTTTACAAAAATTAAAACAAAAAGTTGACATGACAACAAAATACTCGGAAAAACACTTGGGTACATGGACGAAGGGACAGAATATGATGTTTGCTGCTTAATGCTAGGATGAGGAACTGAAGACAAGAGACTGAATATAACAGGAGACTAACGAGAGCGAAAAGAAGAAAATAAAACATAAACCACAAAGGAGTTGGGTGGAAAAATGCAAAGTTTGAAAAATGTCCCTTGGTACTTTTTTAAAAGAACTTTATTAACAATACAAAATAGAACAATACAACAAGAATTACAAACTCTCGTGAAGGGTGTCATAACTACATTTTACAAAATAATGAAAGAGAAAAAATGAAGATAAAAATTTAAAAAGAAACACAAAGGGGCGAGACTATATGAGAAACTTAAAACAGTAAGTTTTTAGAAATCTGATGTGAGATGATTCTAGCAGTTTTCTTGTTTTTTAATCTACTTATTGAAGAATAGTATGACTCAAAATCATTCATAAACCAAGGGAAGGAGAGCTTATTCCCTCCACTTACTTCAGTGAATGTGCCACTTTGCTATACTAGCCTATATGGCCTCAGAGAAAGCTGAGCTTAAGTAATCCACATAAAATAAAATGGCATCAGCATCAAAAAAAGGAACATTAAGTTTGAGATTAATCCAATTTCTGATGTCTGTCCAAAAACTTTGTATTGACATGAGAAAAACAAACACTCGAGGGATTAATCTTCTAATTAACAAAAGGCACACAAATCAACATCAATTTTAAATCTTCTTTGAAGAAACATGGCTACAGGATATATCTTATTTATTATTTTAAAATGAGTCTCCTTCACTTAATAGATGATGTATAGGCCATTTGACAAATTTAGAATGAGCAGAAGTCATTCAGGTTTTATGATTTATAATGGGAGGTTTCTTGAAGGAGTCTTTGTTATAATCAATAAATCCTTTCTGGCATACATTCATTGATAATATTGTCATTGCATTTGAAGTCGACTAAGTTGCAGTCATTTAATTTTAATGTGGGCATCAAAATGGTCATCTCTTGGTACTCACGATGGTACTGTTTGTTTACAACGTGCGTTTGCTTCATACGTCATCACGTATTCTGTCTTTTGACCAATCAGCGCTCAGAGGGGCTCCGGGCTGAGGGATTTGACAGTCTGAAGCTGAGCCCCGGGTTGGACTTCCTCAGTGGGACAAGAACCATGGCGGCTGCAGCTGCCTGTGGACCGAACAGCTCGGTTCTGACGTCGCCACTCGGAACCAGAGAACACAGCCGGAAGAACCGGGAGAAGTCCCGCCGAAGACACGCTGCTCTCCTGTTCCTGAACAACATCTCTCTGGACGGTCGGCCGGTTCAGAACAGTTCAGCCCAGCCCGGAGGGAGCTGCGACAACAAAGAGACCCAGTTCGATACGAACAGCTCCTGCTCGGCGGCAGCGGAGTTCTGCTCGGAACCACAAGCCACGAACAGCTGCGGGACGGTAACCGGGCTTTCCGGGTCACCGAGCGATGGGGAGGTCACCCCCAGCCCGGTACCGAGGATCGGACTCGCCATACCGCCCATTCTCGTGCTTCCATCCGAGCCGGACTTTAACGACGCGGGGAGCGCGGAGGTTCTGCTCGGGTGTCGCCGAGGTTCGGTCCCGTCCCCGGGCTGCAGTAACCTGCTGTCCCTGTCCCCGTCCAGCACCAGCCTGCTGCCGTCCCCGCTGGGTCCACGGAAATCCCCCACGCTGCTCTCTGTCCAGAGCTGTAGCTCTGTGTCTTCGGAACCGAAGCCCAGGTGAGTTTACAACACCCGAACCGGGTCACCAGAGGACCATAACCCCGCGTTTAGGCAAACCATCTCTGAGTTCATATATGGAACCGAACTGGTTCTGTTGGACAGATCCATCCTGTGCGTGGAAACATGCAGCTTTTAAACCAGTTTCGTCTCTGGTTCTGGTTCTGGTTCTGGCTCGTCACTGAGGGGAGTTGAGAACTTTATTCTGAAGATGTTGGATCAGGAAATGGGCTGGTTTTAGATCAAACCAGAACAAAGCTGATGTGTGTTTTTATAAAGAAAAAAACAAACAAAACTGCAGCAAATAAAAAACTAGAGGTTAGTTTTTGTTTCATTGTCATAGAAAACAAACAAACAAAAGTAGAATGGACCAATCCAGGATAACAGAAGAAAGTTGACCTGATGCATGCTGAATAATCCAGGTGGATAACAATGTTGAGTCTGGTCAGGAAGAGAATGGAGCTTGATCGAGCCTTGGAGCATCCTGGATTATTGGGATTAAGGAACACCAGGCTGAGAAGGCCTGGTTAAATCAAGCTTTTTTTCAACAACCATGTTGTGGATGACATTGATTTAGGCTGATGTGGAAGAATGAGCAACAAATATTGAATTTATTTTTTTTAAAAGAAATTCGAAGCCTAAAAAGTCAGTTCACACAACAGTGACAATAATGCTGCAAAGCAGAGGGAGGCTGTCAGAGAGATTTAATTTAAGAAGGGAAGGATAAAGATGAGGTATATGGATGCAGTTAGAGAGGACATGGAGGTAGGTGGAGTGAGGATGGAGGACAAAGATGGAGGAGGATGACTCGCTGTGGTGAACCCCTGAAGAGGGAAAAGCTGAAAGAAGAAGTAGTCACCAAACTGGTACAATGACTGAAGTGAGGGCTGGACTAATGGGAAGAAATCCTCATCGTTTCACGTAAATACAGATTTAGGAAAGTGTAGCACAAACAAATGGAGAAGCGGTCTAATATGAAAATAATGTGTTGGTTGTTATAAATGTTCTAAAATGACTAATGTCCTAGAACAGGGGTCTGCAAGCTGTGGCTCTGGGGCCACATGTGGCTCTTTGGTACCTCTGCAGCAGCTCTTTCAGGCTTTGACCAAAACTAAAATAAAACTGAATTTTATTTAAATTACTACCAACAATGAAAATGGCTAGTTTTAGTAGATTTCCTGTCATTTTCAAATATGTGAAGAACAGTACACATACATGGTGTAAAACATGTGAACTACATCATGCTAGTAGCTTGTTGGACAGTTTGTCGACTTCCAGTCTCACAGCATGACCTTTCTCTCAAAACCACCAGAATGTGTTGGAATATCTTTAAGATAAGTTGCTGAGAAGGAATATGGTGAGTAATGTTGATAACACTAAGAATAAAATGCAACAAATAAAATCAAAGTAAACACAATTATTTATTTTTCTTTAAAAATGTAACTGGATATCCAACAAACTGTCCTAATGTTGTATTGTCTTTAACTTTATGCTTTAAGTATGACACTTAATTCTTCAACAATTAAGAGAACTCTCATCAGTCTGCAGAGTTCAGTGTTTTAATTGTTATAAAATTGTTAAAATTATATATTTTTTCTTTCTTTACATGAAACTGTTCTTTTCTTTTGTATTGCGTTCTAAGGGTTGTTAAGCATATTTGTTTTTAGGTCAAACAAAATGACAAATACTAATTACACACACACAAAAAAAGCATACAGTATGTCTAACTTCCACCCGAGTTATTTATTTATTTATTTATTTTTACTTTTTATTAACAGGGCTTTTAGTTTGGTGTACTTCCTGTCAAGTTATGTGGATGCATGTAAATGTGTATATAGCTGGATTATGGCTAAAAAGATGAGGGAACACTGTTAATAATGAAGATGGACTGTAAGGCTTTACAGCAGGGCTATTGAACTATGTAAATTGCTCAAAGGGCCACAGATACTGAAAGCTAGCAGCTCAGGGGCCAGATATCCAGCAACGAGTCATTATTTAAATAAACTAAGTAATACTGATCCGTTACCTTTTAAATTTGTTGTTTTTGCTGCATTGAATCATAAATTCTATATACAGAACCCAAAAGTGTAATTAAAAGAAATTACATTTCAAGATTTTTTTCCTTGTAACAAAAGTAGTGATATTCTAATATGAAACATTAAAAACGACGCACTATGCCTCCTATTTAACAGGAATATTAATCAGCCATCTCTGACTTTTCAAATCTTCACGCTTTTCAAAATAAAACTTCTGACTGATGTTCCCTGAATGACCAACATGTTGCTGTTCCAGGTGGGTCCTTTAAGATCCAGTTCTCATTTAGAATAAAATGGCTGCACAGACCAGTTGTTCCTCAAATGGTTCATAAATCACAGACGAAGCGTCCACGTCCCACTCAGGTGTGAGCTTTGAGCAGCACCAAAAGAGGCGGAGCAAAACTCAGCTGGGCTGAAAGTGAGCACGATGCGTGTCAAACGTGTCCTTCATGTCATTTAACCAATTAACTCACTTAATCCACCCTATTTGTGATTAACTGTTTTTTAAACTAACTACAAAGCTGCTGTGCGTCATCATCAATATCCCCCAGTAATAAATCTGTTTGTTGTTGTTTAATCCGGCTCGCAGGCGATCACACGCTGATATGATCAGTTTATCAGAACTCCCCGCAGAGCAGGAGAGAGAATGAGCATGCTCCCACGAGGGCATGCAGCCTTTCGACTCATGTCTCTGCTAACTTTATTATAATTAGACATTAGTAACACCAAAACACGGATATTTGTAGGCCCCAGATTAAAGCAAAGATGTATGTCTCTGTTTAACTTTATTTCCCCCCAAACTCATAAAATTATCTCAGTGAGAGTCCCATAGAGACTGTGTGAGCTGAAAAGCATGCTGGGTAGCCTAGTAGAAATTATTTGTGCAGTGTTTCTGACTGTTGATGTTTCTGAGTGTGGAAATGGTTTGTTTTTGTTAATGTCCTGTTCAAGTTTGCTTTGGCATTCATGTTGAAGTCTCTATTAATGGCTGTAAACTGACAGCAAGAGTCAGAGGTTGTTCCTGGTACGAATAAGGGGGAAAGCAGGTTAAACATCAAGTATCCTTGCTCAAGAATGCCTGGTCTGGTGTAAGTCGATGCTTTCAGTGGAGAGGTGGCTTTTCTTAAATAGCTTTGTCATTGAAAATTGTGACTCCACTTGTTTTATCGATTCTTCTCAGATGTAGGTGATTTGCTGCTGTGACTTGTCTCCTTGCTCTGCGGGTTGGATTGTAACAGGTCATTGCGTTCGAGCCATTCCACCCATTGTGGTCCTTATTCACCCTAAAATCAAACTTTAATTTCTTTAGCTTATCCTTGCACTGCTTATAAGTTCAGGTGTGGACATTCTGTGCCACCATCTCTGATATCTCTCTGTAAATGCTCTTCTTTCTTGTGGTACCATCTGTCAACATGAAGAGAAAATGGAGGTTCATATTAGGGCTGGACAATAACTCTATCGATATACGTCATGACATACTTTTATGCAATAACGGTGATATGAGTTTTAAGCACATTTTCGATATTTCGATACGATTACATAGTTTCACTGATGCATTTCTTTTTCTGTTCGGGTTCAGTTTCAACCTGAACAGAAAACGGTGTGACACAACTATAAGTGCGTGGTGACGTAGATGTTACGCAGAGCTCGAGTCCAGAAGGCGTTAGGGATAGCAGGCTAGGCTAATCTCCAACACGCATTTAATTTTCTCTTCAAAATGAGTGCCCATGACCGTCAGAATGTGACTAAACAAGCTTTCACAAGCGAAGGGAAACCGGATGACATAACTGATAAGAGAGGAAAGACTAATTCGGTGGTGTGGAAGTGGTTCGGCTTTCTAAGATCTGATAAACTGCAGGTTTCAGTCAGTGTGCTGCAAAATGTGACGGAGTCGTTCCAACTAGCGGTGGGAACACATTTAACTTGTTCCATTTGATAGAAGATGTTGAGAGACAGAAGATGAAGCACAATAAAAGTTTGAGCCAACGTGTCCCTGAAACATCACCCCCAGCTGTATCAAAAGAGAAACACAGAAGTTTGCTGCATGGGTTGTTAGGTTATGTTGTTGTTTAAAGTTAAAACTATTAATACTGACAAAGTTGAGAGTTTTCTGTTTGACAGTGATTTTAAAATGTTTTGAAGGCTAAATACAAATAAAAGTGAACATTAATTTATTTGTACAGTTTGTACAGTTTTTCTGAGGCTTTTATATTGTTTTTATATCGATATCGAATTATGTTGTTATCGACCGAAATGAAGAAATATATCGTGATAAAATTTTTGTCCGTATCGTCCAGCCCTAGTTCAGATGTAATTTGCAGTTTTGCCGGACGGGTCATCCAGTAACGGCTCCACTGGCCAATCAACGACTGCTGTCTGCTTACGTCAAAATTATCACCTCGGAGGAGTTTGTTTGGAATCTCAAACAAGGTGGTGCCATAAACCAGGCAGAGCTGGTGTGGTTGTCGATAGTGGGAAGGTCCTTAACTGGTGCAGAACCAATGAGAGTTGAGGCGGTTACAAAGCACCATTAAAGTGTTTTTCTGTACACTCGTGACAATGTTGAAAATTGAGATGTATATAACGGACTGAGATATTTGCAGTTTCAGATTGTTTAAAAGACTCTCTCACTGATGTTTTCTGTTTTTCTTCTTTTTATTAATGAACTCATTGGCAGTCTGAACTTAAGTCACCTGCAGGCTGGAAGTGGCTTGCGGGCCACCGGTTGAATAGTCCTGCTTTACAGAATTTATTCAGTGTTCAGCTGGAATGGGAACAAGGTGTTGCTTGTTTTCATGTTTTAGTTCTGTTAAGGCAATGCTGTTGTTATTTTATGTAAATGAAGTTCCATGTTACAGAGCAAATCCTAAAGATAGCGTCAAGCTATATGTTATAAGAATATATTCGATATAAGTTTAACTGGAAGTTTCCTTGTTTTCGTCTGCTAAAATATGTGTGAACTGT